GGGTCCTTTGACGACCCACCCTACCCACCCTGCCCACCTTGCCCACCCTGCCTACCCTGCCTCGTACACTATATTTCCTGACCTACTTCAACATCACCACCGTTACCACCACCATCACCAACAACAATAACAACAGCAACGGCAACAACCATATGAATAACAACAATTGCAACAATAACAACAACAGCGAGGACCCCAACAACAGTAACAACAGTAACAACAACAACACCGCCCCAGTTCTATCTCTCTGTTCTATTATTTCCATACTTCCCATTTGTTTCACTCGTTCCAGTTTTGTTCCACTCGTTCCAGTTTTGTTCCACTCGTTCCAGTTTTGTTCCACTCGTTCCGGTTTTGTTCCACTCGTTCCACTTATGTTCCACTCGTTCCACTTATGTTCCACTCGTTCCACTTATGTTCCACTCGTTCCACTTATGTTCCACTCGTTCCACTTATGTTCCACTCGTTCCACTTATGTTCCACTCGTTCCACTTATGTTCCACTCGTTCCACCTATAATCCACACGTCACAGTGTTGTTACATAACAGAAAGGACCCAAACTTGACTCCCTGGCAGAAAATAGGTACCAGGGTGTTAGTCTCCTAATTGCCGCCCCTCTTCACTAACAGTAAATAGGTACCTTCATTCTTGCTCCTATTTGTGCCTTTGTTACTTTATTCTAGGTTAAAATTAATATTTAACATTATTAAATTCAGAAATAACTCACAAATGTTCAAGAAATATCAAGGTATACCAATATCAAGATATACCACAGTGGTATATTATCCACAGTGGTATATTATCCACAGTGGTATATTATCCACAGTGGTATATTATCCACAGTGGTATATTATCCACAGTGGTATATTATCCACAGTACTATGAGTCATTTTCTAACTAATGTGGCGAGAGTTAGTAATTACGGTTACTTAATCACTCTCACGCCTCTAGCTAATGCGTCTCAAATGATTAGTGTCATTTTAAGGCAGATTAGTTGGACTGCTCATTAGGGGTGAGCAAGGAGGCGAGGCGCCTGGTAAAAGCTAGTTAATGAGTTGTAAACAGATGAGTTGAGAGGTGCTGTAAATCTTGTCTCCCAGGCTCCTCTGTGGGACTACTGGGGGATGTTTGGAACTGCTTGGGGGAGGGACAGGGGGAAGGGAGGGACTGAGGGAGGGAGGGACAGGGACATGGGAGGGACAGAGGGAGGGACTGAGGGAGGGAAGGAGGGACTGTGGGAGGGAGAGAATGGTGGGGATTTTTCTCACAGTCTCCCGGTAGATATACATAAATAATTCACATACACACACGGGGCCAGGAGCTGCGAATCAACTGCAACCACAAATAGGTGAGCATACACACACTTTCAATGAGTTCGAACCCTGGCTTTTCAGATGTGAGCCCAAGACGCTACCACTTGAGCCAGCACACAAGGGATAAAAAAATTTAAACCAACGAGCAACAGCGTCCCTAACACAGATACACCAGGAGACAATTCCTCTCAAACAGCACCTTTGCTATCTCTGTTGGTCGAATCTCCTTGGACCTCCTCGTTTCCACAACATAGCAAGCTTCTGATGATGTGTTGATTGCAACACGAAAGGCCTAAAGCTGTCATTTAACTCCCCCTGTGGTTGTTTTACATATAATATAATAATTATAATATAATAATATCTTTATTTCTTTAAGTACATGTACAGAGTATACAGACCATAGCTGACATCAATGACATACTATTATATAGAAAGCCGCTTGTGATGAAGAGTATTTCCTGCATATTAGGTCATTTTTGTCCCAGGATGCCACCCACACTAACACCCAGGTACCCATTTTACTGATGGGTGAGACAACTGGTGTAAAGAAACATGCCTAGTGTTTCTAACCTAACCGGGAATCGAACCCGAACCCTCGCCGTGTAAAGGGAGGGGTCGGGTTCCAGGCTAAAGCCACTTTATCTGACTTTTTTGGGTTATCCTAGATTCTCTACACATATGCTGTCATGTATGCTCGTTACTTTGTAATTTGTCGTGATTGTGACCAGATCTACCTGGAGTTCATTACCTTTCTAACTTGCTCATCGATCAAAACTTTGTGGTCCACTTCCTGGACCCATTATGCACCTCTGTAATGTTGAGGTACAGTCCTTGGACCCATTATGTACCTCTGTAAGCTTTTGACTACCGCCCACAGGATGGATATGAGGTGTATAATAAACATAATAAAATAAAATTACTTACTTAGGCCACTGTTGTGGGTCGCATCCTGGGGAGGGCCTACTAAAAACCCCTCTTTTCCCCAACATGAAACAAGCCACTTTACTTGACTTTACTGGGTTATCCTTCTCTTATTTCTCATCCTCTTTATCTTAATCTTCTTCCTTGAATAATCACTTCTTGGAGTATATAATGCTCCATGAAGAAATGTTTTAGGTATCCCTTAAGACAGTTACATTTTCTATGATATGATCATTAAAGCACAAACTTATCTAAAAATTAAATTGACACAACGATTAACCATTAAGAAAGATTTCATACAGGAAGAAAGGGTTGGAAACGGGAAGCTTTATTGAGATTTGTCTTAAAATAACCTTTTTATTGATTATTTATATTTGGTGTGATGATCAATTTTTGGAGGGTTTTAGCCCCCTTGTCATCCCCTTGGACGTCATCCCGGTCTTAAGAATTCTAAACCTGGCCTGGCTAGCAAACCTCTTGCTTCAAACGCTGAACGTCCGGGTTCGATTCCAGGCAAGGGTAAAAATATTTGACGTGTTTCCTTATAATAATAATATCTTTATTTCTACAGCGTGGGAAGAAACATTGGGCGTTTCTTTACACTGGTTGTTTATGTTCACCCAGCAGTAAAATGGGTACCTGGGTGTCAGTGGACTGGTGTGGGTCGCATCCTGGGACAAAGCTGACGGAATCTGAGGGAAATGCTCAGCATAACAAGCGGCTTTCTATATAGTAGTATGTCACTGATGTCAGCTATGGTCTGTATACCTTGTACATGTACTTGTAGAAATAAAGATATTATTATATTTATTATAGGTATATAGGCCTATCTGATATCAGTGACATACTACTATATAGAAAGCTGCTTGTTATGCAGAGTATTTCAGGCAAATTAGATCATTTTTGTCCCCAGGATGCGACCCACACCAGTCCACTAACACCCAGGTACCCATTTTACTGATGGGGAACATAGACAACCGGTGTAAGGAAACACGCCCAATGTTTCTACCCTCGCTGGGAATCGAACCCGGACAGCCGTGTGAAGCTAGATCTTTAGCCACCAGGCCATGGGGCCTGGCGGCTAAAGTTAACAAGTAGGTACTTGGGTGTTAGACGACTGGTGTGAGTGGTATCCTGGGAGACAAGACTGAGGACCACAATGGAAATAAGACAGACAGTCCTCGATGACGCACTGACTTTCACGGGTTATCCTGTGTGGCTAACCCTCCGAGGTTAAAAATCCAAACGAAATCTTATCTTAACAAATATTTGGCTAAGATATTCTGCGGTTTTTATAGAAAGCCGGTCATCAACCTTGATAATCGTGTGCATATACAAATACAGTTTTATTTATTTTCTGCTGGATACGAAATGTGGATCCACAACAGAAGAGTAAGCCGCTAGTGCCCGCTATATTTCGGTCAAGTTTCCGAATATGTGGTCCACTTTTCGTTTTCCTTTATATTTTTTCCTTTCTGATTAGAGGAAATATTAATTATACTGAACAGGACGAAAATAAACTATTTAATATCAAAGTAACCAGTGACATGGTCCTCGCACAACTAGGCAGATTAAAGCCTAACAAGTCACTGGGCCCTGATGAACTAACTGCTATCATGGGTTCTAATGGAATATTAGGACAATAACAAACCACTAGTTAATATCTTCAGTAGATCAACGTAAATGAACATCGTACCGGATAAGTGTAAGACGACAAATGTCGTACCATTTACAAGCCTTCAAATTATAGATCAATCAGCCTAACCTCAATTGTGGAAAATTTGGTGGAATCAATAATTGGTGAAATATGAATGGTGATTCAATTCGAAGCAACCTTGAAATATATGGTTTGGTCAGTGAATCTCAGCACGATTTTACGTAGTGGAATTCTTGTCAGGTGGATTTACTAGCCTTTTTCACAAAAATATTCCAGGTAGGAGATCAAGGAAAAGAATATATGATATTGTGTATACAGACTACAGTGACACCTTTGGTAAAATTCCACACAAGAGACCAATTAAGAAAGTAGCGGCACATGGAATAGGAGAAGAATTATCTCCTGAATCGAGGCTGACCCATAGGTAATAGAGAATTTTCATTAATGGGGAAAAGTCAGAATGGAGGCTCTTTACAAGTGGTGTGACAGAGGGGTCAGTGTTTGGGACCCTTGTTCACAATATACATAAATAACATAGATAAGAGAATAAATAATGACAAGAGTATGTTTCCGATGACACTACATAAGTCGCCAATAATATCTGAAGAGGAGACTAGAAAGTTACAGGATAACCTGGATAGTTTGATGTTGTGGTCAAGAAGTGGCAGACAAAATTCAATAGAGACAAATGTAAGGTTCTGTAGCATGCTAAGAATATGTTACATTTTATTCGGCATATGTCCTTCCCGACCAGTGAAGCAGATATTAAGGGTGTAATGAGTGGGGCCCTCTCATTATTTTTAACCAGCCAATGACAAAAGTCCGTCAAAGTTGTGAAGCAATGTGGTACACCAGTGAATCAACATTGGCAGACTTACCCCAAGTCTGGCTTTGGCAATAGAGTTGTAGATGAGTGGAACAAACCTCCCCAGGTAGAGCCAATGAGGCAAAAACTTTGGGTAAATTTAAATTTCAGTTAGACGGGTATATGAGTGGGTGTGAACTGGAGCTGCATAGCATGGGTCAATAGGCCTACAGCAGCATTCTCGTGAAACAAAATAAAGAGAAATAAGGGAGGAGTCACAAAGGTATTGAGGTGGAGTGACCCTTAAACACCCACAACAACAACACAACAAGATGGCCAACAGTGACAGACTCGGTGTTGATGTTATTATTAATGATCTTAAGAACAACCCTTCTTGTGTACACGGTATGTACACATTGCGTACACATTAAGTACACATCATGTACACATCATGTACACCAATACTCGTATCTATATGATAGTCAAATAATTTTTAGAGGCTATAAGAATATTGGAGTCATCCTGGTTCATCAAGTAATAATAAATGGTAGTTCTCCAGCCAAGTCTTGATGCCATTGAAGGGCTCTTGATCCAAGGATTGGGCATCTACCCTCCTTTCCTCTCTCCCTCCCTTCCTTGGATCAAATTGATTACCACCTAATCCCTAGTTGCTATATGATTCTTACTGATTTATGGATAAATGACTTTATATATGTGTGTGTGTTTGTGTGTCTGTGTGTGTGTCTGTCTGTCTGTCTGTCAGTCAGTAAGATGCTCTTGGTTCAAGGGATTGGGAGAATTCTTCTCTTCCTTGGATCAAACCTCCATGTTGCCCATTCCCCGGGCGCTATGTGACCCCTTCGGGTTAAGTGCTTCCGGCTGACTATAAAATAAATAACATTCCTGCTAAATGTTTGTTTGAAATCAGCGTTACGTGTGTGTTTCAGGACCCACTGTGCTGTTCGAGAGATTCCTGGGTAACGGACACAGCCGGAAGTTTTATTCCTGCTCGACCTGCAGAGACCGTCGAGATTGTGGCTTTTTTCACTTGGCTGACGGGAAGATCACGAGCTGCAAGAGAGAACTCTGGGCTCGTCTGGTTATAGAAGCTGCTCCCATCTTGTCGCACCAGGAGAGGTTTAAGATGTAAGACAGTTAGGTATGCCTGGAGAGGGTTTTGGGGGTCAACACCCGCATGGCTCAATCTGACACCAGGCCTCATGGTGGATCAGGGTCTGATCAACCAAGCTGTTACTGCTGGCCACATGCAAACTGATATACGAACCACAGCCCGGCTGGTCAGGTACTGACTTTAGGTGCCTGTCCAGTGCCTTCTTGAAGACAGTCAGGGGTCTATTAGTAATCCCCCTTATGTATACTGGGAGGCAGTTGAACAGTCTTGGGCCCCTGACACTTATTGTGTTGTCTCTCAGTGTACTCGTGGCACCCCTGTTTTTCGTTTGGGGAATGTTGCATCTCCTGCCGAGTCTTTTGCTTTTATAACATTCACATCATTCATTCAATAGCTGTCTTGCTAGAAGTGCACAGACATTACAATGGCAATTACTCTCTGGACTGTAATGTGATCACTCCTCCCTCAGAGTGCAGGTACTGTACTTCCCACTTCTGAGATTCATGTCCACTAGCCAGTTTTCCTGAATCCCTGTATAAATATTACCTGGCTGGCATTCCAACAACACATCAAGCTATAAACCCACTTGTCTGTACTCATTTTGATTCAATAACTCTCGCAAATGCTTTTTAAATGTTTTAAACCTCCCGAGCTCTGTATCTCTTACTTACAGCCCTTGTCTGTCAAATTGCTCCTCTATCCAACTTTTTCATTTGCCTTTTCTAGATCCATTAATGCAACAAGCATTTCCCTACCCTTATGCAAGTATTCTTCACTTATGTGATTCCCTGTAAACATTTGGTCATAACATGTTATGGCCTTTTTAAATCTTCCTTGTTCCTCTTCTGCTCTCTATGTTAATCCTGACATATTCAGTTAGTATACCATTCACCTGACCTGATATACTCATCAGGTTTATTCCCCTATTATTCTTTCATTCACCCTTGCCCTTTTTCCTTATACAATGGAAGAGAGAGAGAGAGAGAGAGAGAGAGAGAGAGAGAGAGAGAGAAGAGAGAGAGAGAGAGAGAGAGAGAGAGAGATAAAATAAGAATTATGTGTATATTGAAAAAATGTGTACGTTTGTTATATCCGCTGCCTCATTCACTTCTACATTTTTTCCTCTGGCTCCTCTAATTCATATACGATGTTGTTCTTCCCAGCTCAATGCACAAAACCGCTGCCTCTGTTTCATCAACATCTCAAAATATTACTGCCGTTAATATGCATAATAAGAATACATTTTTGGGCTCAACATCATTTTGTGTAGGATAGTTTATACATGCTACTGTAGTTGTACAATGTATTCTAGTTGTACAATGTATTGTAGTTGTTCAACATACTGTAGTTCTTATAGATGGAAGTTATGTGTACTCTTAGTAATAACAGTAAAATTCATATGAAACAGGAAGATAACACTGTACTATGTGTAACATCCTCACTAGCAGGTAGCACTTAAGATTCCAGTGGAAAAGTTGAGCTAGTCTGTAAAATACCATGTATTTTCCTCTTTAGGGGCTGATCAAATCATAATCTTAGATTATTCTTTTTTTATATGCATAAAAGATAGTTGGTGCAAAGAAAGAAAGAACCCTAAGAAAATATATAATGTTTTTTAGAGAATACAGCATAGCTTATAGTATATTGTGTGTGTTTTATTGTTCTCTCGTTTCTTTTGCATTCAGTTGGAAAACAGTGAAGAGGTTACCAGCGAGCGACAGAAGTTACTGTTCATCGTGCTCATCTTTGCTTAAGAAGAGCGACATGTCCGATCATGGATCATGCGCCGTGATATCCCCTATCAGTGACGAGCAGTTGAGTCACCCATCAACAGTAAGTGTGTGACTAGTTAATAGTACAAGTCAAACCCAAACGTCATCGTCATCAGTTTCTTCTGTGTGCGGGTTTTCTTGTATATTGTTCCAGTCATGGTATTGTTCCATTTTGTTCTTTATCAGCAGCAAGTTATCTAGATCTGAGACTTTAGTTCTCTATCTTGTTCTTTTGCTCATTATTTATTGTATTTCCTAGTTGATGTGATGATTTATTTGGATTCTGATGTCAGCATTGATGGCCGACATATACAAGAAGGCCTCGCTTTACAGCGTTTCACTAATACAGCAGTATTAGTTACTTCCTACAATAAATATAATCACCACTCACTATAAGCTAAGGACAAAAACATTTTAAGGTAAGTAATGTGTGTACTGTACATATATACATTTTTTAGGCCTAGCTATAGTGCTCACAATACATATATGATAGTGTAAATGTGTTATCAGGCTTTTATATGCATTTGAAAGTAAAAAAAGGTTATGATTCACGTTACAGCAATTTTCACTTTACAGCAGTAACCTGGAACCTGCTGTATAAATGGGGCCCTTCTCTACATGTATACAATACTGTACTACTTTTCATTGATGGTTCATTCATACATAACAGAGTAAGGAATATGTATGTAATGGTCCCATTCATGGTTATTCATGGCTTATTATTTCAGCATTGTTGTAACTGTGTTTATCTTTCTTTAAATTTAACCCGTAAACCGTCCAAGCAGATCTACGTTCACATGTGTAGAGCTACAAAAGTAGATCTACGTTTTTTTACATATTTTCCAATATAACAAAAAAAAAAAAAAGTAGATCAAAGTTTTTTTACACATTTTCAAATGTAAAAAATAAAAAAGAAGATCTGCTTTTTTTACATACTTTCAAATGTTGAAAAAACGTATATATACGTTTGGACCGTTTACAGGTTAATGTGCTGCTCCTTGTAGCCCACGTTGGCAGTTTAAACCAGGTAATCGGCCCCTTTACTCATGTCAAATGCTATTTTTTGGGGAAGGTCCTTCTTCTTCTTTGTCCTTCCCTGATGAGCTGTTAGAAATATTTATGATCTCTGTTATAAATGCAGCTTCAAATACATTGCCCCAAACCTTGAGTAGGCGCTCTGTCATATGAGTGTGAAATGGTAGCCAGGGCACTTATTATTCTCTTAGGTAATGGAAGATCGATCTTCCACCACTCCTTGTACCAGCTGATCTGCACTGATGTATCGGCCTTATTTCAATGTCAAATGTGATGTTGTATGATGGTGAAAGTGTCTTCTTTTTTTTGGTCCTTCTTGATGGAGCCTGTTAGAAAAAATATCTTATTTTCACTTCCAATACATCCACTTTCTGCCTTATCAGGCGTCTGTTCATATTTGATTACCATGGTCATTATTATTCTCTTATATGGTGAGTCATGTTTACACTTTGTACCACTGATCTGTCACTTATAATCGGCTGTTATTTTATACATAGTGATGTGTGACCTATGGTGCAGTTTCTTTATCTTTGTATGGCAGTTGTATCCTTTATGCAGCGGCAGTATGTTATCTGTACAAATATTCATTCTCCTTCCCTGCATCATTTTATCCTTTGTACACTGCAGTCATGTTCATCCTTTATGCGCTGCAGTCATGTTCATCCTTTATATACTGCAGTCATGTTCATCCTTTATACACTGCAGTCATGTTTATCCTTTGTACACTGCAGTCATGTTCATCCTTTGTACACTGCAGTCATGTTTAACCTTTCATCATGTTCTGCATGTCACTCTTATAATATTTGCTAATTAAATGAATTATCGCAGACAACAGTCTTGCATTAAACTAAAAAATATTTGTTATCTCTAGGTCATTTATTCTCTGACGGCAACAATTTTCTCAGCATGAAGAATCTTGTATTGTTCCTGTGTTAGCACAGCCAGGTCTGGATTAGTGTAAATAATGAATTCTGTGAAGTGGTCATATTATTCAAATTTGCACTATTCAAATTACAAGTATATGTACCCCTGCAAGACAGTGATGGAGTGAATGATGATGAAAGTTTTCTTTTTTGGGCCACCCTGCTTTGCTGGGAATCGGCCGATTGTGTTAATAAAAATAAAATAATGTAATTTTTTCATGATTTGGGGGGAATAAAATAAGCACTATTCAAACTCGCATTAATCAAACCTTCACTAATCAAGACCTGGCTGTAGGTACCTTTGGTTAGGAATGGTTAATGGGTTTTCTCTTCCACTTTGCTATACTGTCAAAGGCCAGACTAAAATACTGTTTTTTTTTTTTTTTTTTTTACACATTTTATTTTCTCAGATCTTAGTGCCCAAAGAAAGTTCCAAATTCGAAGCCCAGTATCTCTTTGCGACCAGCAGTGTGAGTGTCATTGTTGGCATGCTGCAGAACCTGAACACTTCCAGAGTCTTGTGCATCGGTGCCCCACGTGTCCATGAGGTATAGCAGACCCCACTGATGTCCTATTGATGGCTGATGACAGAACTAAGTGACAGTCTGCCATCGAGTTGAGTTACATTGGTTTGTTTCAGTAGATGCTGTCGAGTTGAGAACATTGGTTGTTCAGTAGATGGTGGTACGTTAACATTGGGTTTGTTTCAGTAGATGCTGTCGAGTTGACGTTAACATTGGGTTTGTTTCAGTAGATGCTGTCGAGTTGACGTTAACATTGGGTTTGCTTCAGTAGATGCCATCTTATATAGAGTACACACTCTTATAAAACTCTTCTATATAGTGTGATTCTTTTGTAAATATATTTGAGAAAGTGCATTCATAATAGAATAGCACGTACTTTCCATGCGCTATTCAATTTTTGGTGTACTTTTTACACTCCCATTTTCAAAAATCACACCATGCAAAGGAACTTATAAGAGAGCTTATTATACTTTGAATTTGTGAATTTTCTAAGATTTGCTTAATGAGTTTATAACATACAGTAAGGAATTCTCAATGCCCCAAATTTTGTACCTTTTAATTTCATTTTTTGTCCCTTTCCAAGGCAGGATAATTAAGTTATACAGCTCAGCCATCACTAATCTGGCATCAATGAGACCTGTAGGGTGCTGGAACCAGCCCAGTAAATCACGGGAAACTGTATCATACCTTTGAAAGCCCTGGGATGTAAAGTTTTACCATTAACACTAGCCGAAATTAGTGCCAGATTAGTGATGGAGCCGGATTAGTGATTACTGGATCAGTGATGACCCATCTGTACAAATCTCAGCTGCATAAAACTAGTTGGAAGAGAGAATTCTGTATGCTTTAAATCAGAATGTGTGATTTGCTGCTCAGTGTGTCGTACATTACACCCCCCTGACGAATTTGAATTTAAAAATGAGAATTAGTGCCTGCACTCTTGGGAAGGGGTGGGGATGTTGCAGCTCGGAGGTTCATCTGAACTGTGATGTCAGCACGCTTCTGGCAAGACAGTGATCGAACGAATGATGGTGAATGTGTTTTTCCTTTTTTTGGGTCACCTGCTTTGGTGGGAGGTGGCCATTGTGTTAAAAAAATGATTACAGTAGGCCTTAATGTATTTAGGTTGTATGGAGGAAGCTACAATGACTACCTTATTCATGCCACCTTCAACTGTGTTATTGACTACCTTATTGGTACCACCTTCATTTGTATCATTTATCACCTTATTGATGCCACCTTCAACTGTGTCATTGACTACCTTATTGGTACCACCTTCATTAGTATCATTTATCACCTTATTGATGCCACCTTCACCTGTTTCATTGACTACCTTATTGGTACCACCTTCATTAGTATCATTTATCACCTTATTGATGCCACCTTCACCTGTGTCATCGACGACCTTATTACTTCTCTACTCTTATATTGAATATATGCATTTGTGTTTTTTTTATTTTGTTGATGTTTTAGATTTATTTCTTTTCATTTTATTTTTACAGTGTTCGTTCTTTTCACCTAAGCAGTTCATCCAATACAACATGTTCAACCATCACTTTTTTGAAGGGGAAACGGCTAAGAATACATACGAGCATTTTATTTCTGTAGATGAAAGTAAGTATTGAACTAGCAAACTTATACTTAATATTAAAATGAATATGAGTTGTGTAAATAGGTACACAGGTACTGGTGAAGAACATACATCACAGGACCATGGCTAGAACAATTCACAAATAACCCAAACTTAGAGAGAAAACTTCAAGTGATGTTTCAAGTTTTGGGCCGCTATAAAATTACAGTGGTACGCCAAGTTTCGCACTGCTCCCAGCTCAAACAAGTATGTAGGTATATTATTGTTAGCGTTTTTGTAAGTTTATTTTTGGGGTTTGAAACGGACTAATCTAATTTACATTATTACTTACGGGAACAAATTTGCTCGGTAACGGCACTTGAACAGCCTTCTGGAATGAATTATGTCTGAAACTCGTGGTACCACTGTACTTGTTTTTGGATTATCCTGGAGGGTAATCTACACACATGCTGCTGGTTCTTTTCTTCTTTCAAAAAACCGGCCGTTTCCCACCGAGGCCGGGTGGCCCATTAGGATTGAGGAGGAAAACCAAATACCATTCATGCTATTAATGTTTTATCTGATACTATTGTACCCTTCAATGATACTTGACTAACCTTATTGGTCCGCCTCATTTGTATCATTTATACCTTATTGATGCCTTCACCTGTTTCATTGATACTTATTGGTACCACCTTCATTAGTCATTTAAACCTATTATGCCCACATACAACTGGTTCATTGATCTATGTATGGTACCACCTTAAATTCGTATCATTATACCTTATTGATGCCACCTTCACCTGTGTCATCGTTTTCCATTAAATCCATCTTTATTTTATTTTATATAGCATTTGTGTTTTTTTTATTTTGTTGATGTTTTAGATTATTGATCTTATTTGATTTTACAGTTTTGTTACTTTTCACCTAAGCAGATTCATCCAACAAAGTTCAACCATCACTTTTTTGTAGCGGGAAGGCTTAAGATAAACAAGAGCTTTTATTTCTGTAAATGAAAGTAAGTATTGAACTAGCAATCTTATACTTAGTTTAATAATTGTAATTATAGAGTTGGTAAGTGAGTACACAGGTATGGTTGAAAACAAAACATAACAAGAAAAACCAGGCTGAATCGAAACAAATTCTAAATAACCCAAATTAGAGATGAAAATTCAGTGATGTTAGTTTTGGGCTGTATAAATTTACAGTGGTTACGCCAAAGTTTCCACTGCAATTCAGCCAAATAGTATGTAGGTATATTATTGTTAGCGTTTTTGTAAGTTTATTTTTGGGGTTTAAAAACGGATAATTCTAATTAAATATTTATGTTACGGGAACAAATTTGCTCGGTAATGCCTAAAAGCCTTATGGAATGAATTATGTCGAAATTTGGTACGCCGACGTAACTTGTTTTTGGATTATCCTGGAGGTTTTCCATACACACATGCGTGTTTTTTGTTCTTTCAATCAAAAATCGCCGTTTCCCATTCAGGCAAGGGTGGCCCAAAAGTAAAACAAAATTGCGCTGCTGATGAATTATTATTGAGAACTGTACTATGTGTACCCAGTCTGATAACTTGACTGATAATATCAACTTGGGACCTGATAATGATCCAGAAGTGACCAAAATATCTGAAGTTGCCTCTCGTAAGTGCCAGTTATTTGTGGACAGGTACACTGCAGTTGTGCATTTTAGTTCTAGCTGTTGAGTGATTTTTTGTAGTTATCTAGGTTTTGCACACCTGTGAGGTTACCTAATGGTATGTGAAAGTAACTCATGCATAACCCAAGTATAACCCATGCATAACCCATGCATAACCCATGCATAACCCATGCATAATCCATGCATAACCCATGAGAACAGAAGTACAGGTGATCCTCAACTTACAATGGGGTTACGTTCCAACAAATCCATCATGAGTCGAAAATATAAGTTGATTATGAATGTGATAGGCTAAATAAATAAATAAATAAATAACTACTATCACTGAGTAAGTAAATAAACAAATAATTACTGTAATTAACTATATACCAGAATTGAAAAGTAAATAAATTATATACAAGTTACAGACTCGCCACCCTCATGCCAGGTAATTATCTCAAGTTTCAACTACAAAGTAATTGCTTATGCACCACAGCAAAGCTAAAATGTCTTAAATCAAACCATCGTAAGTCAAGGAGAATCTGTACACTATGTTACGATTAATGTTTCCACTATTCATGTTGATACCGTATCTTCTGAAGATGAAAATATTTGAACGTTCATGAATCATATTAGTTTGAACTATCATTGTAATTGAATTCATAATGTAATGATAACTATAAATATTACAGTCAATAAATGGTGTGAATATTATGCATATTTATTACAGATTTAATTATTCATTGTTTTAATGCCAAATTGAACCAAGAAATTCTCAATTCCCCAAATTTTGTACATAATATGATTTTTTTGGGGTAACTTAACTGGCACCATTTTGTACCAAGGCAGAGTGACCCAAAAAAGAAACACTTTCACCATCATTCACACTATCACTGTCTTGCAAGAGGCATGCAGATGCAACAGTTTAGATGTCACTCTAAACAGCAAATATCCCAAACCCATCCTTTACAGTGCAGGCATTGTACTTCCCACCTCCAGGACTCAAATCCATCTAACTGGTTTCCCTGAATCCCTTCACAAAATATTACCCTCCTCTCATCTGCATGCAAATAATTAGAAGAGAAAATTTTTTATGCTTTAAATCCAAATGTGTGATTGACACTAGTGTAGCTGGTGGCAGATTCATCTGCAAAAACTTGCATTTGTGGTCACAGTGGTGGCCCAAGATAACTTCCCAGTGGTATATAGAAATATATCGTATTAGAACCATTTGGCTGAGTGGCTTGCACACTGGCCTGGAGTTTCAGGACTCACTCACCAGGAGGTCAAACCCCCTCCCATTCTGTGGTTTGTTTGTTACAGCCTCTCCTCACTTAGCAACGTACTCATTTACCGATGCCTAGGACTTACGACAGGCTCTCTGACCAGTGTGCATACCTAAATAATGTATATTAGAGCTGATTTCCTCTGTTCTGTTTATTACAATATACAGTACACTACTGTATAAACATTTAAAAATATTTTAGAAATGGTTTAAATAGTGCAAAGGTAACATTTAAGCAATATCAAAGATGGTTAACACAAACCCACAACCATTATAGTATGCTCCTCACTTTGCAACGAATTTGTTTATTGACGTAGTCTTAGGAACAAAACTCCGTCGTTAAGTGAGGAGAGGCTGTATTACAATTTTATGAGTCCTTCAGTAAGAGTTGAGAGTGTTATGACTGGGAAGCATATCATAACACATACATTACTTACCTTAAAATATGGCACCGCTCACTCTTCCCTTTTGCAACTGTTGCGTGGAAATGGTGGGAAAACAGTAAAAGTACCGAACATAATGAACACCAAAAAGAAGTTGCCAGATACGTAGGAGAGTAGTCGCTTTATCTCTGCTATAAATGAGGTGAAGCAAGTGGCATCAGGATGATGTGAATGTATGTGAGAATAGATTTTTTTAATTATTATCCACACAATTCACTGCTATATGTACTGAATGGTTTTAGAACTATGAAATTAAATAGTGTTAACTTTCTTAACTTCCTTTCTTCTGTGGTAGACTTGGTGATAGTCACAGATCCACCATTTGGAGGAAGAATGGAGTTGCTTGCACATAATCTTAAACAAATCCAGGATGACTGGAGAAGAAGCAGAGGTCTTGACTCTCACAGGGAGCTGCCAGGTTAGTTCTCTCATTTAATGTATAGTAGAATCCTCGTATCCACTGATTCGGTATCTGCGGCTTCAGTTATCCACAGTTTACTGTGACCCCAAAATACCTCTTAATTTTGCATAATAATGGCCCCTAAGAGAAGCTGTGAAGTGCTTCCCATCAGTGAAAAGTGATAATTCTCCACTTAATGTGCATAATTTATTAATTAAAATTTATAATAGGTATGTATAGGACTTATATATAGGGTTCACTACTCTCCGCAGTTTCAGTATCTACAGCAGGTCCTTGGAGCATATCCCCCATGGATACGGAGGTCCTACTATACTTACAGAATACTTTGCAAAACCATGCATGTTGTGAAGGCAACTCAAATGCCGGGAGCAAGGGGCTAGTAACCCCTTCTTGTATTAATTAGTAAATGTAAAAAGAAAAGCTTACGTTTTTCTTTTTAGGTCACCCTGTCTAGGTATACCTGGAGTATATCTGGAGAGGGTTTCAGGGGTCAATGCCCCCACATCCCAGTTTGTGACTAGGCCTCATGGTGGATCAGGGCCTGATCAACCAGGCTGTTACTGTTGGCTGCACATAAACCAACATATGAACCACAACCTGCCTGATCAGGTACTAACTTCAGGTGCCTGTCCAAAGCCTTCTTGAAGACAGCCGATTCATTAAGTACAGCTGATTCATTAAAAAAAAATATTTTGCACAACAGCAATCACCCGGGCCACCTCTATTGAAGACGTTTTAGTCCTGAGACCTTCATCAATCAATGTATTTGAAGAGATCAAGATCCCTGAACTGAAACATTTAAGTTTTCAACATTTGCTGCTGTCTTATTGTGAATTACTGTACATAATTGTATTATATTTTATATATTGGAGATTCCAAGTTACAAGCAAGTTGCATTTCTTGTGTTTTAATTTATGAATACGTTGCCTCTATAAACAACAACTGCACAAACTATAATTATATATTTATATTTTTTTTTTTCAACAAGTCGGCCGTCTCCCACCGAGGCAGGGTGACCCAAAAAAGAAAGAAAATCCCCAAAAAGAAAATACTTTCATCATCATTCAACACTTTCACCTCACTCACACATTATCACTGTTTTTGCAGAGATGCTCAGAACACAACAGTTTAGAAGCATATACATATAAAGATACACAACATATCCCTCCAAACTGCCAATATATTTTCATATGTTTTTATTGCACAACAGTCATGTTAAAACTTTAACTGTTCCCTTAAATGCTCCATTTGTAAGTGCTCCATTTGTAAGTGCTGTGTTTATAAGTGTGAAAGTTTGTAAGTTTGGGATCTCCTGAACATGTCATAAAGCTACGTACTAACATGCTACTAAAATAGATTTCAACTCATTGGTGAATGGGGTTCATTTATTTAATGTGTGTGTGTATGTATTTAGTAATAATTGTAAGTCAGTCAGGCAACTTGGTTTCTAAGAGGTCGTAGGGGAAGAGAGAAGAGCTGAAAATGCAGCTTAGAATTAATTTGTTGTGCAATATATTGTATATAGATTCACAACCTGAATATTTTCCTCCAGTTGTTTTTGTTTTCCACAACTCAGTGCTGTTCGTTTTTCCCTACTTCATGGAGCAGCAAGTCATATCTAGTCTACCCAGTTTCACAATGCTTGACTACCAGGTCGATTACGACAACCATCCACTATACTCCTCAGGTTGGTATACAGCTGTATTTTACAGCATTATTTGATGTTATACATCATGCATGCATTTTAGAAAATATAAATATTTCATTTTTATATTACTAATATATTTGTTAAACAGGCTTGTTATTTAATTAACATATATTTTTGCATATCTCCATGGGGAAAGTGGAACAGAATTCTTCCTCCATAAGCCACGTGTGTCGTAAGAGGCGACTAAAATGCGGGGAGCAAGGGGCTAGTAACTCCTTCTCCTGTATACGTTACTAAAGTTATGATGAGAATCTTCTGTTTTTCTTTTTGGGTCACCCTGTCTCGGTGGGATACATCTGGTTTGTTGAAAGAAGAAGAGATACTTTTGCAAAAATTGAAAAACTGTTATAAACAGTTGTAATTTTTTTCATGGATTGTAGGGTATTAACCTGTAAACGGTCCAAGCAGATCTACGTTCACATGTGTAGAGCTACAAAAGTAGATCTGTTTTTCTTACATATTTTCAAATATAACAAAAAAAAAAGTAGATCAAAGTTTTTTTTACACATTTTCAAATGTAAAAAAAACAAAAAGAAGATCTACTTTTTTTACATACTTTCAAATGTTGAAAAAACGTATATATACGTTTGGACCGTTTACGGGTTAAACTGAAGACAAGAAATGTACAAGGTCACTGCTGTGTTGACTCAAGACAGTAGAGCAACTGACTTGTTATCTCTTCCTCCTGGTTTGCTCTCCCACACTACATGGAAAAAATATTTCCATGCTGTTTGTTGATTTAATTGTATTAGAAGACAATGATTATTTTACAATAGCCAGCAGTTCTCCATGGGAAAGTGGAGAAGAATCCTTCCTCCATAAGTTATTCGTGTCATAGGAGTCGACTAAAATACTAAGAGCAAGGGGCTAGTTACACCTTCTGTACTAATTACTTAATCTAAAAGGAAGAAAAACTTTTATTTTTTTTTTCGGGTTGCCTTACGTTAATGCCTTTCACATTTGTGAGATAAGTGGTTTGATGTGCTGTTGGAGTATTTGTGTTTTAACAAGGGAGAATTAGTATCCTAAATGTAGTTTACTGAGTACAGGTTGGTAGGTGGTCTGTCTTGTGATTAGCAGATGGAGGATTGAGTTTCAAACACCCCTTGTGCTGATTGACCCACTCAGGTTTAGCACATCACAACGTGTGTTAGTGAAATATTACAAATTAAACTCAGTACACTTTTAATGTTCTACACACACATTTAATTATAGTTCTTGTTCACATTATCCTGCTGATAATTTAACCTTCCGTTCATTATTACAAATTTCAGTTCCATTGTTTAGTCTTCATGGGTATGTATATATAGTGTATGTATATGTGAATGATTAGTCTGCCCAAAATGCACAGCATGCTAGACGCTTTCTTTTGTTCCTAATAATATTTTATTACGTGTAAACCACATTATCTGTATACTGCACAAAGGAAATAAATTTGTTATTGTTATTATCATTTTTTTTTTCAATGAACCAGCTGTATCCCACCAAGGCAAGGTGACCTAAAAAGAAAAAGAAAAGATTTTCTTTTTTAATTTAGTACAGCCTTTCTTCACTTAGCGACATACTTGTTTACCGACGACTTGGACTTAGGACAGGCTCTCTGACCAGTATACATTCTTAAATAATGTATATTAGAGCTGATTTCCTCTATATTCTGTTTATTACAATATACAGTACACTACTGTATAAACATTTAATAATATACTAAAAATGTTATAAATGTTGCAAAGGTGACATTACAACGATGGTCGACTCAAACCCATTACCATTATAGTATGCTCCTCACATAGCGATGAATTTTTTTACTGACATGGTCTTAGGAATGGAACTCTGTCGTTAAATGAGGAGTTGCTGTAGTCTATACAGGAGAGGGGGCTACTAGTCCCTTGCTTACGACATTTTAGTCGCCTCTTACGACACCTATGGCTCACGGAGGAAGGATTCTGTTTCACTTCCTCATGGAGATAAAAGGAAATAAAGAAGAGAAAGAACTAATAAGAAAATGGAAGAAAACCCAGATTGGTGTGTAAATATATATGCTTGTACGTGCATGTGTATTGTGACCTCAGTGTAAGTAGAAGTAGCAAGATGTACCTGGTATCCCACATGTTTATGAGACAAAAAAAAGACATCAGCAATCCTACCATCATGTAAAACAATTACAGGTTTCCAATTATTGTTGTTATTATTACTAATTATTTCAGGTCCAAAAGGCATGAAAAATGGATCTGCAGTCAGAGTTTTTGTGAACCTTCCACAGTCAATGTTTCCTCTACCAGAGGAAAGTTACCACTTGTGTAAAGTGTGTGATCGCTGGGTCAGCATCAACAATCAGCACTGTGATAAGTGCAATGGATGTATGTCAAAGGTAAGTGCAGAATTTAAGTGCTTATGATTGGTACTTCAGTATAGGTACACAGTAAGAAAGATGTTTATGTAGGTGCATTGTTATGAAAGCATGTTATGGTGGCATTTACTTTGAGATGATGCAGAATACATGATCTTAACTTTTTAGTGTTGCATCACTAAGTAGAAAATGACAGCTATGAAATATTACATTTGTCAAATAAAATAACTGTTAAATTCTCAGAACAGGCGACAGTTCTTGTGCATTTTTTAATTCTTTGAACATCTCCCAGGCAGGGTAACCCCCCCCCCTAAAAAGAAAGAAACATTTAAAATCACTCGTTCAATTGCTGTCCTGCTTGAAGCATGCTTATGTCACAGATTAAATGGCCTTCAGTCTATTTTCAGCACCTGTTGTCATGCTTACCCTTTAAAGGTAGGGGTATCTTGATGCTTGTGCAGGGCTCTTGATCCAAGAAGCTAGAGCTGCTCTCTCTCTCTCTCCTTCTGATCAAACCTGACCACTACCCACCTCCCCAGGCACATCAGGACTCTCAGAGCTTTAACACTTCTCCTTGATAGTAATTATTATGGCCAACAGGGTTTACTATTTCAGTCCTTTTGTTTCCAGGTGACCTTAATGCAGAGGCTGTCTATAGCTCTGTTTTTATACAGCAATTCATGTTTTATACATTATTATTATTATTATTATAATCAAGGGGGAAGCGCTAAACCCGGAGGATTATACAGCGCCTGGGGGGGGGATGTGGAAGACATTCAGGTTTAATTCGGGGAACTGGAGCACAGATCCAATTCCCTTAATCAAGAGCTCCTCGCCAACATCAAGGAACCTTCCTTGAGGGGCATGTTTTATACAGATAACCCGTACATAGGAGGGACGAGCTCATGATGACATCTCGGTCTGACTTGGACCATTTACAAAGTCACAGTGACAGTGTGACTTGCAAAGTTACACTGGTGTTGTGCCTTTTCATTCTTTATTCAGGTTTTCTCTGATAACATTAACCCAACTTTCTTCTTATGCTTTGTATCAGTGTGGAATGATTTTAACCTTTGAATGTGGCATTCTGCAGACATATCCTGAAAATGTAGTTAATTTCAACTTGTTTATCTTGTTGCAGCCATTATGACTATGTGTAATACATTTTTTTTAAATTTATTTTCTTAATAATTGGTAAGGAGATTTAGATAATAGAAATGGACATGCTGGCCCCTTTCATGAAAAAATCATAGTGACCTTATTCTAAATTAAATTTTTATTTTTCTCTGAAACAGAACTATAGTTTTTTTTTTTTTTTTTTGCGCGCAAGAGGAAGAAGTCAAAATGTTTTTTTTTCTTTTTTCAAAAAGTATGTATAAAAATCCCCGATATGAAAAATGCAGCATGTTTTGTCTTTACCTCAGGACGGAAGAACCTACAAGCATTGTGATGGATGCAATAAGTGTGTTAAACCTTCATGGGTACACTGCTCAGACTGTTCCAGGTGTCAGCCACACGACCACAGGTGTCAAGAAGCTGGTTCAGCACTCACTTGTCACATGTGTGGACACTCTGGCCACAAACGGATGGACTGTCCAAAGCGAAAAGTAGGTTATTTGTTCTAAATTGAGGAACATTTGTTTTTCAGTCGTAATGCATTATTCTATGGGTATGATTCTTAAGTTTGTATACAGGCGGGCCCCACTTTACAGCGTTTCACAAATGCAGTGGATTTCAATTATAACCAGTCATCATTTATTCAGACTTCCTACAATAAATATATTCACCACTTACTATATGCTAAGGACAAAAATATTTTAAGTAATGTGTACTGTATATGCATTATTTAGGCCTAGCTCTGTTGCTCACTTACCCCGTAAACAGTCCAAACATATATATACGTTTTTTTACATTTGAAAATGTGTAAAAAAACGTAGATCTACTTTTGTAGCACTACACATGTGAACGTAGATCTGCTTGGACCGTTTACGGGTTAATATATGATAGTGTAAACATGTTATCAGGCGTTTTTATGCATGGAAAGTGAAAAAAGGCTATGTTTCACTTCGCAGTGGTAGCCCAGAACCCATCCTGCTGTATAAGAGAGGGCCCTTTTGTGCAAGTTTTTCTATTGTGCTGTTGTCAGTTCAGAGTTTCAGTATATTCTGTTTCTGAGTATTTAGTTTGGGGTATAAATTCAGGGATTTCAGATTCATTTTATCCTTTGAAGGTATGTTTTGATGTTGATTTAGGGCTATTGATCTGAAGAATTGGATCCACCCTCCCCTTGAATCAAATTAATTACCTTCAATTCACTAGATTTTTTTTTTTTTTTTTTACACCCACAGTCTCCCACCAAGGTAATTTGATCGTGAAAAAAAAAAAAAACATTCAATAGCTGTCTTCTAGAAGTGTACAGTCATTGCAATTCAGTTGACATGAACTGCAACATCTGTACCCATCTTCGGAGTGAAGGCATTGTATGTCCCTCCTCCAGCATTCAAGTCCCAATAACTGGTTTCCTTGAATCACCTCTTGAATGTTGCCTTGCTGACATAACCCTGGTGTATGTTCTACCTCCTCCTTCCCTCCACTCAGAATTTTACACTCTTATCTGAGCATTGTTCACCTAATTGCTTCAGTGTAAACACTGTCTACACATCCTCTTCTCTTCCTAGATCCTCATTGTTCCTCCATATTTCTACTTTGTCCTGTCTAACTAAGAATTCTACTAGACACTTGTGTATGGTTAAGGACATAAGACATGGAAAAAAAAGACTTGTCAGTATCACCATACCAATTTTCACTTTACATAGTGTACTGAGCAGGATTATTTCCCTATAGTTCTATTTTTTTCCTTCTCTCTTCCCTTGTATCAACAAAGTGTGCATATTTCCTGCCTTTTCTTGGGAGCTTTCTTTTATGCTGTCCATATACTGAAATACTAGAGCCACTCCAAAACTTTATCCTCGCTTGCTTTTAACGTATCAAGTATTGGAATGATTTTTAAATAATTTTAATCTGTTAGTGTATCCTTTTCCGAGACATTTCCATCTTTGTCAAGACAAATTTTTATTACATATGCAAAAAATTGCAATTGGAAGTGGGCATCATAGGGGCCCTATGGCTCAGTCATTTTTTTGTATTAAGAAATGAGGCTGGGGAAACACAGGACAATATGAAATATACAATGGATTTATTGAAGAGTAAAAAATATATTGCATGTATAAATGTTAAAATTACTTGTGAAATTTATGAAAGTTTAACATGTCAAAAGACGACGGCAGTAGCTAGAAACTTCACGACTTCTGGACGTGGAAGGTCTCAAATCCATTACTGGTGCTATTATATTAATGGTAATTCTTCCATTATACACTAAACCAACAAAATGTTAGGTCACTGATGCAACTAATATGACAGTTTACTGTGGCAGCATTCCTCCTTTCTCCTCCCCCCCCCCCAACACCTCTGCCATCCCCTACCAAGGCAGGGTAACCCAAAAAAGAAAAATACTCTCCATCGTTCACACAATCAGTCTTTGCAGAGGTGCTCAAATACGACTGTGTCCTTGTATTGTTTGTAATGGCTTGACAAAGTTCCTGGAGAGCACAACATTACCACAATAAATTGTCACATTAGTTGCATCTGTGACTAACATTAATGGTTAACAGTGACAAGTAGATAAGTGCAACAGTAGAGTACTTTATTATTATTATAATCAAAAAGAAGCGCTAAGCCACAAGGGCTATACAGCAGAGTACTTTATTGCTAAAATGTTTGCCTGCTCAGGAACCGTCTTTAGTCAGTATGCAGAGGCAACCAAAACTGGAGAGAACAATAGTGATGGAGGTAGATACCAAGGCTGAGAAACCTGAATGACCACCTTGTAAGTGTCGAGATTTATCATTTCAATGAAAGCTATAAAGCTCAGCACTAAGGCTGAGAAAATGACTGCCTCAAACATGCTTTAAGGCTAAGGGACTGATCACCTCATATCTACCTTTCCACTACTGTTGTCCCCAGTATGTGCCACCTCCATTTTGACTGAAGCCTGCTGAATGTTTGTCAGTAAAAGATGACCAACTGTTGTATATGTCTTCCTCATCTACCTGGTGTCAGATAATGTTGACCTTGCATATCACTGGATGGAAATATAAACACACATGCAGTATAATGTGATCCTTTATTGACAACGTTTTGCCCACACAGTGGGCTTTTTCAAGTCACAAACAGATCTACCTGGGGTGGAAGGTATGCAAGTATTTATAGTCAGGTTCAGAATGCTGTGGTCAGGTGGAGAATGCTGCATCTGATGATCTACCAAAGTGAGGTTATAGAGTAGATCATCAGATGCAACATTCTCCACCTGACCACAGCATTCTGAACCTGATTATAAATACTCTCATACCTTTCACCCCCAGGTAGATCTGTTTGCGACTTGAAAAAGCCCACTGTGTGGGCGAAATGTTGTCAGTAAAGGATCACATTATACTACATATTTATTCACGTCACTAGATGGATGCCTGTTGTGTGTATGGAATGAAGTCTGCAGGACTGCCACTCATTTTGGAGTTTGAGGATGTAGAACAGTGGTTTACTAAACCAACAAGTGGATGCAACATATGCAACACTTGGGGCAGGAGATCTGTACTTTCTTCTTGGCAGTGGTGTCATACCCAAGGCATTTGCCAATGGGATCACTGCCAGCATCAGAAGTTACCTTAGTGACTATCTTTCCACTTGCAGACTCCAGAACATTGGCCGAGTGTTCCTCCTTGGAGTTTTGTAGGGGAGGGGTAGATTGCAAATTTTCTCCCTGTTGTACCGACATACCTGTGCTGTGCTTCATGTGTAGTAAACACCAAAGTCCCTTGGTACATGACTTATGGAGGAAGTCAACCACACTTGTGCAGAAAAGCTTGAAGCCCCATTTGTCTGGCTAGGTCTATCTATGCATTGCCTTAATGTACCAGCACGAGTATCTTCATAGGCAACCATACCTCGTCAACTTCCTGAAGTAGTGATGCAATTGAATTCAAGTCTGATTTTGAAGAACCCATCAGTTCTTCAGCGAGGTGTTATTAAAATGGAAGAGAAGTCTAATGTGCTTGAATCTCTTGTCAGTCATCACATTTGCAATGTGAGGAACCCTTGTAATGTGGTGTCAGTAGTCCTGTTACTGGTAGTTGAGAGATCCCCAAGACCATGAGGATGCTAATGAAAGTCATCTTGGAAGGGTCAACACAGAAGGTTGTATTCACTTTGATAGACATACTGGATGGTGTAGTAGGCAATGTGTTCCAGCAAGTAAATATTAAACATCTTGAGAGTCCCTCAAGCCAGTTGGGACTGGGTGTTCATTTTCTTTACATTGTGGAAAGTCTCTCTCCACCTTGTGGCCATTACATCCTTGAAAGCTTGAATGATTGTTCCTTTGTTCTCAAACAGTTGAGGTCTTGCCCATTTACAGGTAACTGAAGAGAAAATAAAAAGGAATTTATAGAAAAATGTCAATGTTAAAAAACAAATAGCGGTTAAATGGTTAAAAACAATGGAATTCAGAAAATAAAATTCCTCTCGTTTAACAATTTAAAACACACACTATAGCATTACATACCTTTTCTTCAATGACGTTTATTGGTCTTCGGCAGCTATGTTCCGTCAGTCCTATACAAGGTCAGTGACATCACGTCTCGATCTTCAGAGTTCACCTCCACTTCTAGGTCATTGTAGTCTTGACCAGACTCCACATGTTGGGGATGCACTCCCCATTCTTACAAAAGATTTTTGCAGGTACCTGGAAAGGCAATTTACAAGGTCAAAAGTGGCACGTAATTCTTTTCTTCAATGTCGGAATGCGTTTCCACCAGCAAAAATTACACATCTAAATGTACTTAGCACAAAATATTATAAAAGAATATCTTGTGGATTGTATCTTACTCTTCTTTATGATATTCTTCCTTGTACAATACACACAATCACTTCCCATAATATTTAACATCGACTCTGTCTTTGCTTCACTATACCTGCAGTTTCATAAATGATTAATTTGTTTTTTCAGTTGGGTTGCACCTTGTCTGATGATGAGTCCAAGAGAAAGAGGAGGAAGAGGAACAAGAACACACTACCCCTGAGTCTTGAAGATGAGAGAATGAGGAGGAAGAGGAACAAGAACACACTACCCCTGAGTCTTGAAGATGAGAGAAAGAGAAACATGGAAATATTTTCTCAATTAACATAGCTTAAAAAATGAATTTGATTAATTAAAATTTGAATTTTGCAATTTGTTTCATTTGTTAGCAACTTTTGTTATGATACTGTTAAGACAATGATGGATTAATAGATGAGAAAGAATGTGTGTGTAATAAAAATCCATTGTAGCAAAATGTCTGATGCAGCAGATATTAATGTATTGCTGGACATACTACTGCTAACAATCTCGATGCAGCGGACTTAGTCCACTGTATTGAACATTTGTCTGACCAAACAACTTAACATTGTATCTGAAATTATTTATATATGAGGTCCTATTATATCAAAGTTTTAATTTTCTTGTATTCAGAGACAAAGCAGCATCAAATGTAAATGTCTGACAACTGATGTAAATAATGAATGCAGCTCGGTGACAGTCCATCATACCCAGGGTATTGTGACCTGGAGACGAGAGGCTCTCCCAGGGCGTTGTTGAGCTGGAGACGAGAGGCTCTCCCAGGGCGTTGCCGAGCTGGAGACGAGAGGCTCTCCCAGGGCGTTGCCGAGCTGGAGACGAGAGGCTCTCCCAGGGCGTTGCCGAGCTGGAGACGAGAGGCTCTCCCAGGGCGTTGCCGAGCTGGAGACGAGAGGCTCTCCCAGGGCGTTGCCGAGCTGGAGACGAGAGGCTCTCCCAGGGCGTTGCCGAGCTGGAGACGAGAGGCTCTCCCAGGGCGTTGCCGAGCTGGAGACGAGAGGCTCTCCCAGGGCGTTGCCGAGCTGGAGACGAGAGGCTCTCCCAGGGCGTTGCCGAGCTGGAGACGAGAGGCTCTCCCAGGGCGTTGCCGAGCTGGAGACGAGAGGCTCTCCCAGGGCGTTGCCGAGCTGGAGACGAGAGGCTCTCCCAGGGCGTTGCCGAGCTGGAGACGAGAGGCTCTCCCAGGGCGTTGCCGAGCTGGAGACGAGAGGCTCTCCCAGGGCGTTGCCGAGCTGGAGACGAGAGGCTCTCCCAGGGCGTTGCCGAGCTGGAGACGAGAGGCTCTCCCAGGGCGTTGCCGAGCTGGAGACGAGAGGCTCTCCAGGGCGTTGCCGAGCTGGAGACGAGAGGCTCTCCCAGGGCGTTGCCGAGCTGGAGACGAGAGGCTCTCCCAGGGCGTTGCCGAGCTGGAGACGAGAGGCTCTCCCAGGGCGTTGCCGAGCTGGAGACGAGAGGCTCTCCCAGGGCGTTGCCGAGCTGGAGACGAGAGGCTCTCCCAGGGCGTTGCCGAGCTGGAGACGAGAGGCTCTCCCAGGGCGTTGCCGAGCTGGAGACGAGAGGCTCTCCCAGGGCGTTGCCGAGCTGGAGACGAGAGGCTCTCCCAGGGCGTTGCCGAGCTGGAGACGAGAGGCTCTCCCAGGGCGTTGCCGAGCTGGAGACGAGAGGCTCTCCCAGGGCGTTGCCGAGCTGGAGACGAGAGGCTCTCCCAGGGCGTTGCCGAGCTGGAGACGAGAGGCTCTCCCAGGGCGTTGCCGAGCTGGAGACGAGAGGCTCTCCCAGGGCGTTGCCGAGCTGGAGACGAGAGGCTCTCCCAGGGCGTTGCCGAGCTGGAGACGAGAGGCTCTCCCAGGGCGTTGCCGAGCTGGAGACGAGAGGCTCTCCCAGGGCGTTGCCGAGCTGGAGACGAGAGGCTCTCCAGGGCGTTGCCGAGCTGGAGACGAGAGGCTCTCCCAGGGCGTTGCCGAGCTGGAGACGAGAGGCTCTCCCAGGGCGTTGCCGAGCTGGAGACGAGAGGCTCTCCCAGGGCGTTGCCGAGCTGGAGACGAGAGGCTCTCCCAGGGCGTTGCCGAGCTGGAGACGAGAGGCTCTCCCAGGGCGTTGCCGAGCTGGAGACGAGAGGCTCTCCCAGGGCGTTGCCGAGCTGGAGACGAGAGGCTCTCCCAGGGCGTTGCCGAGCTGGAGACGAGAGGCTCTCCCAGGGCGTTGCCGAGCTGAGACGAGAGGCTCTCCCAGGGCGTTGCCGAGCTGGAGACGAGAGGCTCTCCCAGGGCGTTGCCGAGCTGGAGACGAGAGGCTCTCCCAGGGCGTTGCCGAGCTGGAGACGAGAGGCTCTCCCAGGGCGTTGCCGAGCTGGAGACGAGAGGCTCTCCCAGGGCGTTGCCGAGCTGGAGACGAGAGGCTCTCCCAGGGCGTTGCCGAGCTGGAGACGAGAGGCTCTCCCAGGGCGTTGCCGAGCTGGAGACGAGAGGCTCTCCCAGGGCGTTGCCGAGCTGGAGACGAGAGGCTCTCCCAGGGCGTTGCCGAGCTGGAGACGAGAGGCTCTCCCAGGGCGTTGCCGAGCTGGAGACGAGAGGCTCTCCCAGGGCGTTGCCGAGCTGGAGACGAGAGGCTCTCCCAGGGCGTTGCCGAGCTGGAGACGAGAGGCTCTCCAGGGCGTTGCCGAGCTGGAGACGAGAGGCTCTCCCAGGGCGTTGCCGAGCTGGAGACGAGAGGCTCTCCCAGGGCGTTGCCGAGCTGGAGACGAGAGGCTCTCCCAGGGCGTTGCCGAGCTGGAGACGAGAGGCTCTCCAGGGCGTTGCCGAGCTGGAGACGAGAGGCTCTCCCAGGGCGTTGCCGAGCTGGAGACGAGAGGCTCTCCCAGGGCGTTGCCGAGCTGGAGACGAGAGGCTCTCCCAGGGCGTTGCCGAGCTGGAGACGAGAGGCTCTCCCAGGGCGTTGCCGAGCTGGAGACGAGAGGCTCTCCCAGGGCGTTGCCGAGCTGGAGACGAGAGGCTCTCCCAGGGCGTTGCCGAGCTGGAGACGAGGAGGCTCTCCCAGGGCGTTGCCGAGCTGGAGACGAGAGGCTCTCCCAGGGCGTTGCCGAGCTGGAGACGAGAGGCTCTCCCAGGGCGTTGCCGAGCTGGAGACGAGAGGCTCTCCCAGGGCGTTGCCGAGCTGGAGACGAGAGGCTCTCCAGGGCGTTGCCGAGCTGGAGACGAGAGGCTCTCCCAGGGCGTTGCCGAGCTGGAGACGAGAGGCTCTCCCAGGGCGTTGCCGAGCTGGAGACGAGAGGCTCTCCAGGGCGTTGCCGAGCTGGAGACGAGAGGCTCTCCCAGGGCGTTGCCGAGCTGGAGACGAGAGGCTCTCCAGGGCGTTGCCGAGCTGGAGACGAGAGGCTCTCCCAGGGCGTTGCCGAGCTGGAGACGAGAGGCTCTCCCAGGGCGTTGCCGAGCTGGAACGAGAGGCTCTCCCAGGGCGTTGCCGAGCTGGAGACGAGAGGCTCTCCCAGGGCGTTGCCGAGCTGGAGACGAGAGGCTCTCCCAGGGCGTTGCCGAGCTGGAGACGAGAGGCCTCCCAGGGCGTTGCCGAGCTGGAGACGAGAGGCTCTCCCAGGGCGTTGCCGAGCTGGAGACGAGAGGCTCTCCCAGGGCGTTGCCGAGCTGGAGACGAGAGGCTCTCCCAGGGCGTTGCCGAGCTGGAGACGAGAGGCTCTCCCAGGGCGTTGCCGAGCTGGAGACGAGAGGCTCTCCCAGGGCGTTGCCGAGCTGGAGACGAGAGGCTCTCCCAGGGCGTTGCCGAGCTGGAGACGAGAGGCTCTCCCAGGGCGTTGCCGAGCTGGAGACGAGAGGCTCTCCCAGGGCGTTGCCGAGCTGGAGACGAGAGGCTCTCCCAGGGCGTTGCCGAGCTGGAGACGAGAGGCTCTCCCAGGGCGTTGCCGAGCTGGAGACGAGAGGCTCTCCAGGGCGTTGCCGAGCTGGAGACGAGAGGCTCTCCCAGGGCGTTGCCGAGCTGGAGACGAGAGGCTCTCCCAGGGCGTTGCCGAGCTGGAGACGAGAGGCTCTCCCAGGGCGTTGCCGAGCTGGAGACGAGAGGCTCTCCAGGGCGTTGCCGAGCTGGAGACGAGAGGCTCTCCCAGGGCGTTGCCGAGCTGGAGACGAGAGGCTCTCCCAGGGCGTTGCCGAGCTGGAGACGAGAGGCTCTCCCAGGGCGTTGCCGAGCTGGAGACGAGAGGCTCTCCAGGGCGTTGCCGAGCTGGAGACGAGAGGCTCTCCAGGGCGTTGCCGAGCTGGAGACGAGAGGCTCTCCCAGGGCGTTGCCGAGCTGGAGACGAGAGGCTCTCCCAGGGCGTTGCGAGCTGGAGACGAGAGGCTCTCCCAGGGCGTTGCCGAGCTGGAGACGAGAGGCTCTCCCAGGGCGTTGCCGAGCTGGAGACGAGAGGCTCTCCCAGGGCGTTGCCGAGCTGGAGACGAGAGGCTCTCCCAGGGCGTTGCCGAGCTGGAGACGAGAGGCTCTCCCAGGGCGTTGCCGAGCTGGAGACGAGAGGCTCTCCCAGGGCGTTGCCGAGCTGGAGACGAGAGGCTCTCCCAGGGCGTTGCCGAGCTGGAGACGAGAGGCTCTCCCAGGGCGTTGCCGAGCTGGAGACGAGAGGCTCTCCCAGGGCGTTGCCGAGCTGGAGACGAGAGGCTCTCCCAGGGCGTTGCCGAGCTGGAGACGAGAGGCTCTCCCAGGGCGTTGCCGAGCTGGAGACGAGAGGCTCTCCCAGGGCGTTGCCGAGCTGGAGACGAGAGGCTCTCCCAGGGCGTTGCCGAGCTGGAGACGAGAGGCTCTCCCAGGGCGTTGCCGAGCTGGAGACGAGAGGCTCTCCCAGGGCGTTGCCGAGCTGGAGACGAGAGGCTCTCCCAGGGCGTTGCCGAGCTGGAGACGAGAGGCTCTCCCAGGGCGTTGCCGAGCTGGAGACGAGAGGCTCTCCCAGGGCGTTGCCGAGCTGGAGACGAGAGGCTCTCCAGGGCGTGTGAGCTGGAGACGAGAGGCTCTCCAGGGCGTTGTTGAGCTGGAGACGAGAGGCTCTCCAGGGCGTTGTTGAGCTGGAGACGAGAGGCTCTCCCAGGGCGTTGTTGAGCTGGAGACGAGAGGCTCTCCCAGGGCGTTGTTGAGCTGGAGACGAGAGGCTCTCCCAGGGCGTAGTTGAGCTGGAGACGAGAGGCTCTCCCAGGGCGTTGTTGAGCTGGAGACGAGAGGCTTCCCCCAGGGCGTTGTTGAGCTGGAGACGAGAGGCTCTCCCAGGGCGTTGTTGAGCTGGAGACGAGAGGCTCTCCCAGGGCGTTGTTGAGCTGGAGACGAGAGGCTCTCCC